CTGTGTACACTTCACTGCACGGCGTGTTCAGCTTGTGTACACTTCACTGCACGGTGTGTTCAGCTTGTGTACATGTCACTTGTGTGTTCAGCCTGTGTACACTTCACTGCACGGCGTGTTCAGCTTGTGTACACTTCACTGCACGGTGTGTTCAGCTTGTGTACATGTCACTGTTGTGTTCAGACTGTGTAGACGTCACGGCATGCTGTGTTCAGCCTGTGTAATTGTCAATACACGCTATGCTGATGAGGTGTCACCAATCAATAGCTGGATGGTTTCTCATCGCGACCTCTGTTCGATAACCACTAGTTAGATGTGTTTAACAAATCAATACTATAATGTGCTCATAGGGGTCGATAACATAACACACATTTATTACATAGACCTCCACGTATTAAATTATATAATATCAATAGAAAACTACCCCTTATACTTTCAAAACCTATCTCTTCTGCCCACCTCAACAAGCTGCATCACAATTTTGGTGTCTACGGCTACTGTCAAAAAATTATTTTTAAAATGTAACTCACAACAATTTATTGAAATTCATCAGCTTTAATTTCATTTATAATAATCATGCAACCTTACATACAGTTTAAAGAAAACAAATTATATAGTAAAAATATCAGTCAACTTATTTATCTAACTTATTTTTAAAACAGTAATTTAGCAAAAATCAGAATTCAAAAAATACTCTTATATATATATATATATATATATATATATATATATATATATATATATATATATATATATATATATATATTCCCAACACTACCCCATATACCACATTACACCAAACTGATTAACTACGCATACCCAATCACATTGTTTAAAAAAAAAAATCCCAACAATGCTTGGTCTCATATATTCCTGCTTTTTCTGGTTTAGATTACATTATCTTTAAAAATGTAATTTTTTTTGTAATGCTTATTTTTAAAATTTATAATTTTTTTTTTTTTTTTTGGCGGGGGTTAACATTTTGTCTGGGTTATTTCAAATACGCAACGGTCGACTACTCTGTTGGTTTAAAAAGTGTTCGATTATCAGAGGTAGTCTCTCTTAGTTTGAGTTTTAATTTTTTTTTTACAAATAAACGGGTATAAATGCATAAAAATATTAATTATAATAAACCAATTAATTTCATAAAATAGAAAACGACAGTGGTAAGATTAAGTGCTAGGAATTAAGAGAGTGATTAGGATTATGTGAGTTCTGTGGATTTTTGTGAGTTTTGGGGATTGTGGAAATGGTAAAGATTAGTAAGTGTGAACTACTAGTGTTTATAGGAGAATTAAGTCCTACTCTTTTGTATGTGCTTATAGAATATATATATATAAATATATCCGTTCTTATCTTGTATATAAATTGATAGAATGTATATTTCTACTAACAAGAGATAATGGGCATGGGGATATAAAAATGTATGCGAAATTTCGCCTGTTGTTGGTTATAAAGATTATCTGCTCCGCTCTCTAAATGCTACTAGTCCAATAAATTATGAACTATTTTGGTAATTGCAGTTTTTTGTAGAAGCGCTTGCTTACATACTCTCAGCATGTCATCTTTGCTGGGAGTAAGCCACCAAACTATCCATAATCAGCTAATGTGAGCCATTCACTTGATGTGTCACCAAACCTTTTGGTGTCGGCCTCAAACAGCTGTAGTTGTTCTCCAAGTTTCCGCTCCATAAAAAGAAAAACTTCACACTGCAGTTGACTATACGAAAACTATACTTCCAATTGCAGTTGACTATACGAAAACTATACTTCTAATTGCAGTTGACTATACGAAAACTATACTTCCAAATGCAGTTGACTATACGAAAACTATACTTCCAATTGCATTTGACTATACGAAAACTATACTTCCAATTGCAGTTGACTATACGAAAACTGTACGTCCAATTGCAGTTGACTATACGAAAACTATACTTCAAAATGTAGTTGACTATACGAAAACTATACTTGTAATTGTAGTTGACGATACGAAAACTATACTTCCAATTGCAGTTGACTATACGAAAACTATACTTCCAATTGCAGTTGACTATACAAAAACTATACTTCCAATTGCAGTTGACTATACGAAAACTATACTTCCAATTGCAGTTGACTATACGAAAACGATAATTCCAATTGCAGTTGACTATACGAAAACTATACTTCAAAATGTAGTTGACTATACGAAAACTATACTTCCAAATGCAGTTGACTATACAAAAACTATACTTCTAATTGCAGTTGACTAAACGAAAACTATACTTCCAAATGCAGTTGACTATACGAAAACTATACTTCCAATTGCAGTTGACTATACGAAAACTATACTTCCAAATACAGTTGACTATACTATGGTGTCTGTTGTCATCCCTTTCCTGGAAGATTGTGTCAAATGAGCGAATTTAAATATATTATCAGTAATTTATCCCACGCGGTAAAGGATATTTTTCTTTGTAAAAACAATTTTTTTCTTGGTGTCCCCACCCCCCTCCCCCACCCGCAGGTGTAAACTTTTTAAAAGTACATCCTCTAATTCTTTCTATTAATACTTGAATAGTAGTCCCTTTTTAGTATAGTTTGCATTTTTTTTTAGCCATGGTGTCACACCATGGTCTAACCAGGTGCAATCCGCACCCCCCCCCAACCCCCTTGTACTTGTACCGCCTCTGTGTACACTTTTATAAAGAAAGCCGAACGCCTTAAACAGAGATAGCCAGAAGTTTTGTTCTACACATAATTATAAAATGAATAAAAACAAAACACAAATAAACCGGAAAAAAACTCCCATAAAAGTAAAAACAAAAAAAACAAAAGAACAAACAGCGATACGAATAAATAGCAGTTATATTCTAAATAACACCAACAATAAGTATATGCTCTAAGAATCTACAAATTATTCCACAAGTGATTTTTTTACAGTTGTAATTTTAAAAAAAATTAAATTGTATTTCCTTTCAAACGAACACACTGGCTTAAACGTTCCATCTTAATGAAAGAAGACCAGATTTTCTTGACGGTACATTATGAACTAAGTATAATTTCTATTATATATAAAGGAATATACTATGAAGGAAAACTAAAAAAATACAATTTCTATTAGACTAATTAGCATATACAACGGAATTCGCACACAAATTAAACGCTGAATTATTTTGGTTTAATTCACCCAATCACTCATCATTACAATCATATTTATTACTTGAACTTTGGTTTAATTCACCCAATCACTCATCATTACAATCGTATTTATTACTTGAACTTTGGTTTAATTCACCCAATCACTCATCATTACAATCGTAATTATTACTTGAACTTTGGTTTAATTCACCCAATCACTCATCATTACAATCGTAATTATTACTTGAACTTTGGTTTAATTCACCCAATCACTCATCATTACAATCATATTTATTATTTGAACTTTGGTTTAATTCACCCAATCACTCATCATTACAATCGTATTTATTACTTGAACACATCAGGAGTCTGTCGTCTGCTGGCGTATCTGCTCCGAGACTTCCGGTGACCCGTCCTGACCCTCTTTGGATGGGTCGTCAGGGTCATCCGTGACTAACACCGGATCCGAGTTTTGCTGGACGATCTCTGACACCGGCTTCAGTACAGGGTTCAGTACAGGGTTCAGTACAGGGTTCAGTACAGGGTCCAGTACAGGGTCCAGTACAGGGTTCAGTACAGGGTCCAGTACAGGGTTCAGTACAGGGTTCAGTACAGGGTCCAGTACAGGGTTCAGTACAGGGTTCAGTACAGGGTCCAGTACAGGGTCCAGTACAGGGTTCAGTACAGGGTTCAGTACAGGGTTCAGTACAGGGTTCATAAAAAGGTTTGATTCGGTCTCAGGTCGCTCTGAATGCTGAGACTGATAGAAGTATCGTCATTCAAGTATTCGTCATTACGGAAGGAGCATTAATTAGTTGGGGTGGTGGGTGTATGGGGGGGGGGGGGGGGCTACGCAAACTGTATCCTTATTTTGTTTATATATATATATATATATGAGATAGATAAATTGAAACAGTTTAATATAATACTAGCCGTCCCGGCCAGGCCCTGCTCTGGCTTCTGTGAAAAACCTTTCTGTTAAAGACCATTACCTGTGTGTTTAGTAATCATCATAAACCCGGCATTGCCCACCCAAACCACAACCAACCAAAACCAAAACAACAAAACGCAAACATAACGCTAACACAATTACAAATACAAACGAAAACAAAAACCTAACAACAAACCCAACCACAGCCACAAACACCAATACCAACACACAAAAAAACGAAAAAGCAAACGAAAACAAACCAAATCCAAACGCAAAACCAACCAAAAACAAATACAAACCCAAAGAAAAAAACACAAACAAAAACGAAAAAGAAAGAACAAAAACGAACCAAATCAAACCGCAACCACTAACGCAAACCCAACCTAAACACAAAGAAAACACTAACGCGAACATAAACGCAAAGTGCTCATAGTCTAGCCCGGGGCGGAATCGCCTGTTTTAGCTTAATAAACGACTATAGTACCCCAACTTATTCATAGTCTTTTGCACTGACTCAAACGAACGCGCCTGTTTCAATTTAATAAACAATTATAATACTCCAAGCGTATCAGTAAAATACCTACAATGTTTGCACTTGATCAATCCCCGCTAATTAAGTAATTTTTTTTTCCCAACACCAAAACAAAGTAATAAAAAGTAAATTCTTTTCCACTAATGCAATGGTTTTATAAAGGGAAGTAATTGTGTTTTCCTAATTTATCAAAGGGAAGTAAGTGCTATAGGACTAAATAAAGACATAATTAGAATTTTTGTAAAAGATGATATTTTTTAAAAAAACTTGTTTTCAATGAACATGCCGACAATTATTACTTTCAGTTTGATAAATGAAAATTATTTCCCAAAACTTCCAATATTAATTTTTTAACTCATAAATTAAGACCATAAGGACTTTAATTATCTAACACTTACATCCATCTAAGTATGTCAACGACAAACTTATTACATACAGAATTGAGCTTTATATATTAGATTATTTTAATTTGAAAGGGCTGATTATATTTATTACATTTTAGAATATAATATAATATACGAAATTGTCAAAGTAAATTGAAGATATTTTAAAATAAATCTAAGATCGATAGAATCAAAAAAGTATGTGGTGTTGTGATGGATTTTATCCTAAAAACGATCACAATCAATTGTGAAAAAAATACTTACAGACTCCTTCGTCACAGAAACATGTGCCATGTCGTTAGCTTCAGGCACAATATATTCTTTGTTGACCATTCTATATGCAAGCCGTTTGGTCTCAATACGGAACTTGGAGTTAATGAGAAAATAGATGAAGAAATTAAAAGTGAAATGGCAGATACGAATCTCCTCTGTGATGACAGCTGCTAGATTGTACCTGACAAACTTAAGGATCGCTTCTTCTGTGTCGGAGGTGTCCACTTCGTACAAATTGTGCAGAGATTTAGCAAACGTGTCGGGGAGGGTGGTGATAATCTGGAAGACAGACACAGTCAGCAATGTGAAGGTCGTAGACGATTTTTTCCATTTCCTGTTTCTTCTCATTCCCATCACTGCAGAGTTTAACCGTATCATTTCCCGAAGCAAAAACCCATCCAGAATTAAGACGATGAGGGAAACTAGCCCAAAGCTAATCCCTTCCGCTACGTAAACGTAGATATTGTACGTGGAGAAGACTCCTTGGTCAACCTCACTCCTGAGAGCGCAGTACGTAATTGTAACTTTGGTGTCTTCATACGTGTACGTTTCCATGAACCAAAAATAAGTTTGGGGTGAGTTCAGGAGAAAACAAAACACTACAAAAATAATGACGCATATCTTCGCATGCTCTTCCGTGCAGTATACATTTCGTTGAAACGGGTAAAACACGGAAATGTATCTCTCTACAGTAAACCCAAGATTAAAGTACGTCGACAACTGCTGAATCGAGCTGAGCAACAAAGGGAATGTGTAGCACAAGACAATATTGTCTAAGACGTTGATTTCCCAGACTAAATGCACATCTTTCAGCAGGTTAAGAAACAACGCCAAGAAATCGCTGATAGCAAGGCAAACCATGTATAAACCAGACACGTTCCATAAATCTGGTTTCCGCCACAGAATGAAGCACAACATATTTGAAGGCATCCCGATGATCACGAAGAAGAGAGTAGCGTACTTGTTAATGTGATTCTGATAAGGAAGGAGGTTTATAGGTGTGTAGGTTCTCCCAAGGTGACTATGGTTAATGGTGGGTGGAGTCGGTTCGTGGGTGAATGTTGGCGTCTTGGTTATGTGGAAGAAAGGGTCGAAATCGTCTGTGAAAGTGTGTACTTCCGTGCTCCATGTCGTGAGTGTTGTAGTGACCTCTGGCTGGGATGTTGTGTTGAAGGTGGTGTTGGTGTCCATCTTTTGTGGATATTAAAATTAGAATCTGTAACGGTGATATAAGTAAACAAAAAAAAATCAGAATCTGTAACGGTAATAGAATCAAACAAAATAATCAGACTCATTAACGGTGATAGAATCAAACAAAAAAATCGGAACCTGTAACGGTGATAGAATCAAACAAAAAAAATCAGAAAATGTAACGTGATATAAGTAAACAAAAGAAAAAATCAGAACATGTAACGGTGATATAAGTAAACAACAAAATCAGAATCTGTAACGGTAATAGAATCAAACAAAAGAAAAAATCAGAATCTGTAACGGTGATATAAGTAAACAAAAGAAAAAAAATCAGAACATGTAACGGTGATATAAGTAAACAAATAAATCAGAATCTGTAACGGTAATAGAATCAAACAAAAGAAAAAATCAGAATCTGTAACGGTGATATAAGTAAACAAAAGAAAAAAATCAGAACATGTAACGGTGATATAAGTAAACAAATAAATCAGAATCTGTAACGGTAATAGAATCAAACAAAAGAAAAAATCAGAATCTGTAACGGTGGTATAAGTAAACAAAAGAAAAAAATCAGAACATGTAACGGTGATATAAGTAAACAAAAGAAAAAATCAGAACATGTAACGGTGATATAAGTAAACAAAAGAAAAAATCAGAACCTGCAGCGATCACAGATAAGACCAAATATCCAATTAAAACATGTGGCATAACAAAAAACAACGGGGACATTAAAGCTCACAAATGGGGATAGAAAGGGCATATCCTGAAAAAGGGGAGAGGATAATATTGTAAGGAAAGTATCAAACTGGAATCCCTAGGAGAAGAGGACAGTAGGCCGGCCACGGAAATCCTGGAGGAAGACACTAGAATATGATACAAGGGCTGCCCAGCTTTACGTCGGCGCAAATACAGAGAGCCGCTTAAAACCAAGTCAACTGGAGAGGTGTGGCTGTAGCCTTTTGCTCCAGTGTTTCTTCCAGACTTTTTTCTCCGGGGGGGCACTTGAAATTTTCGGGGGGGGGGGGGGGGCGGTAAACTTTCTTCGGGGGGGCGGACACTGTTAAAAGTATATATTTTCTATATAAATTATATAAATTTCATTTCGTTCGGGGGGGCGGTAAAAATTTTTCGGGGGGGCTTAGCCCCCCCCGAAGAGATGCCTGAAAGAAACTCTGCTTTTGCTCGTCTGGGGCCACACAGGAATAAGTCAAGTCGAAGTCAAGTCACGGGTTCAAGTCTTAGGCCCTACCTTGTCTGTAGGCCCTACCTTGTCTGTAGGCAGGGGCGTAGCGAGGGGGGGGGGGGCGGGGGTGCGGACCGCACCGGGTGTCACCATTTAGGGGGGTGACACCAAGGCAAAAAATAGCAAAATATAAAGAGAAAAACTTGAGGGGGGGGGTGCAAATCGAAAACTTGACGGGGGGGGGGTGTAAAATCGAAAACTTGAAAGTTGAAAGTTTGTCCCCGGGAAGGGTCGCTACGCCTCTGGGGGGTGACACCATAAAGTGCCGCACCGGGTGACACCCGACCTCGCTACGCCACTGTCTGTAGGCCCTACCTTGTCCGCGTTATCCACTCGACTGGTGTCTGGTTCGCCTGGACCCATCAGCTTCAAGTGTGTACGGAGAAATCAACCATCAAGTACGGCCACTCTGACAGATCAGATGCTCAGATCTGGAAGTTCACGCGGATGAAAGATGAAATACATAACAGTAGATAGAGAAAACACTAGGGGAGGGGGGGGGGGGGAGAAGACAGAGGGGAGGGTAACGGCCGAAAGTCATCAGGAAATCATGGACACAATACCTCTAAAGGTAATCTTAGGCTAATCTACAGGTTATCTGAGGCTAATCTACATGTCCTCTAAGGCTAATGTACAAGTTATCTAAGGATTATCTAAAGCTAATCTACAGCTTCTCTACAGCTAAACTACGACAAAGCCACAGCTAATCTACAGCTCCTATACAGTTAATCTACGTCTAATCTACAGCTAATCTCCAACAAATCCATAGGTATTCTGCAGCTAATCTACAGCTAATCTCCAACAAATCCACAGGTATTCTGCAGCTAATCTACAGCTAATCTCCAACAAATCCACAGGTATTCTGCAGCTAATCTACAGCTAATCTCCAACAAATCCACAGGTATTCTGCAGCTAATCTACAGCTATTCTACAACTACTCTACAACTAATCTAGAGCTAATCTACAGTTTTTCTCTACAGCTAATCCCCAGCTCCTGTGCAGCTAATCTACAGCCTAACGGTTTTGATCTGGACCTAAAAATTAAAACCCAAAACAGGCCATGATTTAGGCCCAGCAGAACACTCACCTACATATCCAGTCAATGTTTGTATCTTGATCTTTCAGAATCGCACCAATAAACTAAACCAAGCTAAAATCTCAATTTCGACGACCACCCTAAACCTACCCTAGCCTTTAACAAACTGGCGATACATTAAATTTGGTACACTGCTCTATCTAATTTGTATATTATTATAGTGTTTTACAAATTTAATATTTACTAGATTAGATTTAGGTTTTGATAAGGATTATACTTAACTTTTTAAATTCACAAATCTAAACTAAAAGATATTTTCAATTTAAGTAATTATTTTAAATATTTGGTAATCCCTTAGTTTAGCGTCGGAAATTATCGGGTAATGTTTGTTGAGTTTCGGTAACTAGAGTTACGGTAAACCATGGTTTATTTGACCATTGAAATATAAATAAATTGAAAGTCGAATTGTAGTAAATTAATGTTTTAATTTTTTAAGTTTAATCGACTAAAGGAAACAAGAATAAATATAATAGTAGATTTAAATTAGTTGATCTAAAAATTAAAAAAAAACATATATTAATATAAATATAAATAATGAAGTCAAATGTAATAATTTAATGTTTTTGGCTTGCAGCGAATTTGCGACCATTAATTAATTAGATCTAGATCTAGCTAGATATCTAGCTGCTAGACCAAGTAAAAAAATCTAGATTACGAATATAGTAAAAATGATTACAAAATGTAAAAATGATTACAAAAATAAATCTATCCAAAATTTAAACATTCTGTATAAAAATAAAAGATGACGCCAAATAAAGTATGGTTTACAGTACTTCCGGTGAATTCCGGAAGTGTGTGACAGAGTTTGGCATTGTTTTACTGTTTTCTACTGCGATACGATTCCGGAATAATAACCGACGCTAAACTAAGGGATTACCAAATATTTTTCACCTAATATTATTTTAGTTGAAAATACCTTTCTCTTCGATTTCTTACTTTTTTTGTACGAAAAGCAAATGTTTTTTATTTCATTAGCTTCACTTTACTTCTTTTTCTTGTACCGGAAACTCGGTCAAAGTTTTTTAGATTGATGTACTTTAAAAAGTTGATTTGAAAATATGGTAATCAAAGTATAATTAAAATGTAATGTATTTTTGTACGCCACAGCTCGCGGGCCAGATAATAAAGCTCGGTGATGAGAATTTCTCATCAAGATAACGTTGATTATCGATTAATGTTAGTACTAATCTGCATGTCACAAGCTCTTTATAGTAGGGGTGGGGGGCGCTTGGGCGCAGACCATTGGGTGGGGGAGTGGGGGCGCCAACAGGGTTAGAATTTTTTTTAAAAGCTCATTCCTAGCTGCAATGTTGAATTATTTACAGTAAAAGTTTCATATATATATATATATATATATACATATATATATATATATATATATATATATATATATATATATATATATATATATATATATAGTAAAGGCGGCTGGGCATAGTGCTGACCACACTATCTCTTCATTTTCTTTTTTTGCTCAGTAAATTCTCAAAGGGAACCATCGCATTAGTGTTCTTTTCCCGGACTTTTCATTCTACATTTCCGGATATTTAAAAGTAACATTTCGGGGGAGATCAGAAAATTTGACTTGATTGCAATACATTTTTGACTGGATCCACAGTATTGAGGACAAATAGCCTAAATATCCCAGATCCTGAAGTGGTCTAGCGGTAGAGAGCCGGACTGATAACCGTAAGTCTCGAGTTCGAATCCGGGTTGAAGACAGTAGTACGTCCCTGAGTCTACCCAACTCTATCTCACGAAAGGGAAAGTAAAGGCGGCTGGGCATAGTGCTGAAACACGTGAACTTTAATTCTCTTGCCCCATAGACTTTCAGGTTTGAAAGGGAAATTTACTCCTTTATAAGGCTAGCATGACAGGGGAAAAGAAGCACTGGTCAGAACGGGTGGAGACAAGGGCGATTATATTGTCCAAACTTTAAGAACTTAAGAAAATCGTAACCAGGCTAGCCATATTTAAAATTAACTCATAAAACATGTGACTGTAAAATTAGAAAATTTAACCGAATTGTATCAACCAACTTTTTCCTTTATTTGATTTCCTTCTGCCGTGTGTGTTATATTGTTCTCCTTCCATCTCCGAGCCGTAGGATGAAACAAAAGTCACACCGCTTACTGATGGTGACAAGTTAAATTACACATTGTTTTAGAAAGCTCAAAACTTTTCTCGTTGCTGATTCAAAACTGAACGTCTTGCTCGAGAATTACATTAGTAAAATACCATCGAGTAATACCATCAAAAAGTACCACCGAGACTTACCATTTAAGACGTACCATTAATATGTACATTAAGTAGTACCATGAAGAAAACATAAAAGTAAACAAATGACCAAAATCCATACCAAGTGGGAAATTTTTTTTTTAATGAAAACAATAACATTGCCAGTTTTTTTAAAATCTAAATTTAAATGATGTATTTTATTCATACAATTAATTTTACAAAATATCATTTTAGCCGTACTGAGTAGCTCAAAAAATTGAATTATAAAAGACATTTTGGTTGTCAAAATCAAGAAATTAATGCAAATTAATTCAACACAGTATATAAGCACTCACATTTTCACCATTACTATGGGAGCGCCGATACTTTCCAAAATAGAACATCACTAATTCTAAACATTTTGCCATATTAAAAAAGAACGCCGTCTATTGCAACAAATACTACAAACGATAAATCATTTTACAAATTAGCCTACCTCATTACCCCATAAGATGTAGATTAACATTAAAAAAAATAATTTAAAAAACCACCTAGCGGCTAACTTAAGTCATTAGGATGCTTGATTAATTAAGAACATTCTTCGTTAATTTGTACTGCATGAAATTTCAGGAATAAAAATAGCTTATCGGCCTAAGATTTTGCCGAAATAAGCAGTAACAAATTAGCTATAAACAAAAGAATGTGAAAATAAAATTTCCTACTTTATTATTTCAGGTATTGTTTATTCTGAAAAACGTCTTTAGTGCGTAGCATTGTTCTACACATAACAATAACACACTAATTAAAAAATATATATAATTAGACTTTACCAAGATCTCAAATAATAAGATTGTCAATTTATTTTCATTTAAAAAAAAATAAAGTACATTTTTCTAGCCGAAAATCTAACAAAAAATTCATAGATTAATTAATGTATGGTTTAAAAAAAAGTGTGTCTTAATTAGGATTACTTTTAGCAGTTAGCTAACTAAACTCTAAAGACAGAATGTCAGCGTTTCGGTTTAATTATCGTCTAAACCCACATGCGGTTCGGGTTTCTCTACGGGTTCCGGGGATGGTTGGTGAGTACTCTCGTCAACACCCGTACCTTGCTTACTGCCCTTTCTTGCTTTGTCATCGTTCGGTCCTTTTTTCGGTCCTAGTTTCTGACCCCTAGCGATCGACCCGCGCGTTTTATTCACCGAGGGAGACCGTTCTCGCTTATCTTCCTTGTGTGGTGGTATTGATACTTTCCGGGTTTGATGTTTTCCGTCTTTGGAATTCTGAAATAAAAAAATAAAACCAGCTTGTCAAATACGGCTCACAGAGACTCAAGTAATATAATATATATATATATATATATATATATATATATATATATATATATATATATATATATATATATATATATATATATATATATATTATATAGGCCTATATATGTAAGAAAGAGTTAGTAATAATGACCGTGTATTACAAATATAGATTTTTTTCCTTTTGTTATTTAACTACTAGACTTTTAAAAATTATCGGATTGTAGAGCTGTATCTAATCAATTAACACCCTCTATCAAACAAGCGGTATAACGCATTGTACCCCCGAAATACAATGGTAATGTTATGAAGCGTTTGATTTGTTAGAACATGATTACGTCAAGATCCCTTATCTGGCCCATTATCTCACGATGTAGAGGTCAGGCCGCTGTCCCTAATCACACCCAACCTACCATAAACCTATTGCACTCACACCCAACCTACCATAAACCTATTGCACCCACACCCAACCTACCATAAACCTATTGCACCCACACCCAACCTACCATAAACCTATTGCACCCACACCCAACCTACCATAAACCTATTGCACCCACACCCAACCTACCATAAACCTATTGCACCCACACCCAACCTACCATAAACCTATTGCACCCACACCCAACCTACCATAAACCTATTGCACTCACACCCAACCTACCATAAACCTATTGCACTCACACCCAACCTACCATAAACCTATTGCAACCACACTCAACCTACCATAAACCTATTGCACCCACACCCAACCTACCATAAACCTATTGCACCCACACCCAACCTACCATAAACCTATTGCACCCACACCCAACCTACCATAAACCTATTGCACTCACACCCAACCTAACATAAACCTATTGCACTCACACCCAACCTACCATAAACCTATTGCACTCACACCCAACCTACCATAAACCTATTGCACTCACACCCAAGCTACCATAAACCTATTGCACTCACACCCAACCTACCACAAACCAAATGCACTCACACCCAACCTAACCATAAACCTATTGCACTCATACCCAACCTACCACAAACCTTCCGCACACAAATATATCCAACCTACCACAAACCTATTTCACTAAACTACAACCAACTTGCATTGTACATGATTCACCTCAACTCACGCTATTCTACTTAGCTCACCTCAACCTAACTCACGCTATTCTACTTAGCTCAACTCAACTCACGCGCTTCTACTTAGCTCAACTCAACTCACGTGCTTCAACTGAGCGCACATCAACTTACGCTCTTCTACTGAGCTTACCTTACCGGCCACCCCCCCCCCCCCACACCAACACAACTCACCCTCTTCATATTAGGATGCACGTAGTTCTGCAGGGTCAGCGACAACTTTCGGTACATGGTCTTCGGCTTTTCTTCTTCCTCGTGATCATCGTCTAAGGGCTGGCAACAAACGAGGTCGACAATAACTTTTGGGAAACACCATTTGATGGGGGTAGGGGACGGTGTGGTCGGGGGGTAGATCACACGATTGAAAGGTTCGAGTTTATTTCGTGTATGTATCAGTTGCATGGACATAGCAAGCATTGCTTGCAGTGGTGTAGACAGGAATTGGTCAAGGGAAAGGGTTCTATATATATATATATATATATATATATATATATATATATATATATATATATATATATATATACTAGCTGCATCCCGTGCTCCGCCACGGTAAATCTTTTTTAAATGTACCAACTTGGGAACAGGACAAAACTAAACACAACACAAACGAACGGAAAAAAAAAACACAAACGAAAAAACAAACACAACACTCATAACATAAACACAATTTAAATGCAATCATAAAGGCATATTGCTCACAGTCTAGCCCTTAGCGCCAAATCGCGCCCTTTCCGGTGATTTGCACCCCCCTCAAACTTTCGATTTGCACCCCTGCCCCCCCCCCCCGCCCTAAAACTTTCGATTTCCACCACCCCCCTGCCCTCGCAAATTTTTTCCAACCCACTTTGGCGCCCCCTAAGGTTGGCACCCGGGGACATATGCCCCCCCCCCTCGCTACGCCTCTCCTATAAAACCCCTAGCTTGTCCGCAAACCGAAAGATAGAATAATAATTAGTAAACAGTATAAATAATAGGCAGTATTTTAAATATCCGTGTTTTACCTACAATATTTCACTTTATCCATTCACGCATTTTTTCCCAGTACTTTAAATTTTAAAAAATTACAATAGAGTTTCATAACTAAAACCATTGCGCACCGAAAGAACGTGATGACGCGTCTATAATAGTGCTTAATAGTTGATTAAAAATTATAAGTAGTAAACATTACATTCAGTAAATAAAATAAATAAAAAATAGCCTTTTATCAATCAATGCTAATTATAATATTCCAACAATAATTTACTCTTACACGTCTGCATAATTTGCATTCACATTTTGCTAATTATATTATTCCAACAATTATTCCGTCTTGCAGATTTTGCATTCACATTTTTAGCGTGAGTTCAATTTATTTTTTAAAATACCTCCCTTGGCAAAATTACTAAACAGTTTAATTAGATTTTTCTAACCTACAGCTATTATGTTATTAAAATTTATCCACTTTCTCTAGGAATATTAACGAAAACGATATTTGACATTGATCCTTTTAATATGTTTTAGCAATGTGCATGTATTTAATATTATGTTATTAAAATGTATCCACTTTCTCTAGGAATATTAACGAAAACGATATTTGACATTGATCCTTTTAATATGTTTTAGCAATGTGCATGTATTTAATATTCTCTTTACGTTATGCAAAATTGTACAAACAGTGGAAATTATAAAATAGCTCTATGTCGTTATATAAACAAACCCTACTCTAATACTTATAATAAGACACTGCAGTGCACTCAAAAGCACTGCATGGTGCATAATTTACTTTTATGGTTCCAAAATCTATTGCAATGACGGACGGACAGACACAGCCCGCTTATATTATATATATATATATATATATATATATATATATATATATATATATATATATATATATATATATATATATATATAAATATAAATATATATATATATATATATATATATATATATATATATATATATATGTGTGTGTGTGTGTGTGTGTGTGTATGTGTATAGGCAGGGGGTTAACGGTGTATATATGGTGAGTTATAACGCCCCATGGACCCCCAAAATAACAATTCCTCTTCTGCCTACGCCACTGCTGTCATGGGCTTGAAGTAGTCGGAGAAATTAAATGCGGATAGCCATAGAACATATTTCAATTCTTGGTTTTATGCCAGGTTTACATAAATTCTATTCAATTTGTTCGAACTATTCCCAAGTATATAACTCATTACTCAACAGATTCTCAATATTTGAAATGTATGTATAGGTATATTTTATCTCATCGGTTATCTCAAAGTTAGTTTAAGGAGTAATTTATAAAAAAAAATAATTTTAGAATTACTGAGCAAAAAATGTTAATCGTACCAAAATTTCAGGACAAGCTAAATAAGGGAAATAGAATTGTCAAAACACCATTAGATGCAAGTTTGTCTTTAACATAAAACCCTGGCATTTTGTATTTCTTCTAGGAATAAAAAGCCATAATTACAACGGAAATGTTGTGTCTTCTGGGAACAAAAAGTCATACTTACAACAGCAATGGTGTGTCTTCTAGGAATAAAAAGCCATACTTACAACAGCAATGGTGTGTCTTCTAGAATAAAAAGTCATACTTATAACAGCAATGGTGTGTCTTCTAGAATAAAAAGCCATACTTACAACAGCAATGGTGTGTCTTCTAGAATAAAAAGTCATACTTATAACAGCAATGGTGTGTCTTCTAGGAATAAAAAGCCATAATTACAACAGCAATGGTGTGTCTTCTAGGAATAAAAAGCCATACTTACAACAGCAATGGTGTGTCTTCTAGAATAAAACTCAGCCATCTCAGGCAAGATGTACTCCTTGTTAAAGCACCTGTAGATTAAACGCATGAACTCCACGCGAAATCTTAGGTTAGTTATCAGGTAGATGTAAAAGTTGAAGGTGAAATGAGATATCCGGACCTCCTCTGCGATTTCCGCCACCAACTCGTATTTCCGGTAACGCTCGAGCTCTTCGTCGGTGGGGTTGAAGCTATTTTTAAGGCAGTACACGTTGTAGAGGCTTTTGGCGAACGTATCCGGGAGAGTGGTGCATATCTGGTAAACTGACACCGCCAGGAGGGTGATGGTGGTTGTTGTGGTGCTGACTTTTCTTTTAGTACCACGCATGGTTTCGGCGTTAGCTAGGCGGGCCATTTGCCGTATGAGAAAACAATCCATAACGAGGACACATATGGAGATAACTCCGAACGAAAATCCTTCCGTGATGTACGTGAATATTCCGAAAACGGAAATATCCTCCCCTTCGTCGTACTCTTTTTTGAGTGCACAGTACGTTCTAGTAATATTTTTCCTGATATCTAGTTCAGTAGTCAAAAACCAAAAATACGACTGGGGACAATTCCAAATAAGCAAAAACACAATAAACCCGGTAATCACCATTTTCGACCTCTCTTCCGTGCAGTAAATGTTCCGTTGAAACGGATAAAAAACAGAAATATATCTCTCTACAGTAAAACCGAGGCCTAAATAAGTCGACAATTGCTGTCCAGCGTTAAGCAACGTTGGAAATATAAAACAAGTCACAGCTGTGTTCATAATACACACTTCCCAAACGGAATGGAGGTCTTTGAGCATGTTTAGCAAAAGAGCCAAGATATCGCTAAGGGCTAGACCAGCCATGTATAACCCAGACACATGCCACAAGGCCGGTCTTCGCCACAGTATAAAACACATGATATTAGACGGCAGCCCAATCGAGACTAAAACGATTGTTGCGTACTTATTGATTGCTAATTGCATTGGATACATTACAATCTTCTTCATCTCTGCCACTATCACCCTGGGCGTGTTGTTTTGGGTGGTTCGAATGGTTGGCAGGGTGAAATCGTCTGTGATCATCGCGGTTGATTGCGTGGTCGAGAAAGGATCGAAATCCACCATTTTTGTTTTGTGGTAGATAAACCTTAAGCTGGAATAAATAAATACTTTTCAATAAAAAAAAAAAACTAAAAAAAAAACTACTTCACAAAACATACAGGTTTTAATAACTTTCTATGGAAAAAAATGGAGCAAGTATTTATCGATAGAAACTCAACTTGGTCAAAACCACACTTCAACGTTATACTACATTTAAAACAATGGTATACAACATTTTGTTGTTCTTGCATATCATCCACACAGCATTTATCCAATACAAATGTTGTGGATGTGTACATTTTGGGGCTGTTTCCTACAGTAAAAATTCAGTAAATATAACCTAGATCTACATCATTAACTTGTAACTTGTATTTTATGTAGGCCTATACTCTATACGCAGAAGATATAGAATATACTTATATAGGTCATATATAGATTTTACTATATATCTATATATATATGTGTGTGTTTGTGTAGATATGTATCTTATGTAGGCTTTGTAGCTTCGTACTTATCATACTGAAAAATACAAGTTTACTCACAATATCAAATGATTAAAAACATCTTTGTTTTATAAGTTCGTGGTGCATCTAGATCACGCCGGAAACTCAAATTCTTTTGGTGCTGCTTCGTGCGCGACTACAGCAAAACTAGTGTATGGGTTTTCAAAGGTAATAACAAAAGCATGCAAACAAAAACGATGTTAGTAGGCTATATGTTAACATGCATTAAACAGAAATATATGTTCTAACCAACGTACTTTTTTGTTTGTGTTAGTAGTTTAGTAATATAAAAGCGTTTGTAGTAAAGATACATTCAAAATGTAGTTTAAATAATAGTTCTTCTTAAATGTCTTCACATATTTATTTTTAAACGGCCAATGTGAAAAAAGGCCTCCGTGCCTATTATTGTTACCGTTATTGAATACATTGAAATTAAAACTACATTGCGTTAATGAGAGTGACCCTATATATATAATTATCATAAAATGATAAATAGCTGTATTGTTTTTTGGTGTGTGCATTCTAGCTTCCGAGTAGCCATTTACTAAAGCTAACTATTTAAAACAAGATTAAATTGTTTTTTTCAGTAGTACTGTTTTAAAAATGTATGCAATACAATTTGAATATACAGAATTTCTGTTCTAATTTGAGGCTGTATTTATGTTTACGTTAGATAATTCATCTGTTAATTTCCTCGTAATGTTTTCATCGTTTCAAACTCAAAAACACACACTTTGATTGTCTATGTAATCAGTTCTGCAATTATTACAAGCTATTCATTAGTTCGCAAAGTCTGTTTGCTTTATTTGGGTTTGTGGAAAATCCTCTTACTCAAATTTGAACGACTTCTAATGCATTGATTTTGTTTTGATTCTTGTCTTAAGAAACATATTTTCAATGCATCTCGCTGTTTACGTTAACAGGAAAGTCGTATCTAAAATTAATTTGCTCCCCAATGAAAACAATCGCTAGAAGTTTTTCACACGAGTTTACAATCGGTTTTCTTGTAGATCTGTGGACGTTTTTCAATTGCAGTTATGCAATCTACGATACAAAAAAAAAGGTTTAAGCAAACTACCTGACTCAACAAATAACATAATAAACAAACACTATGTCTGATATGATATTTCTTAACAAGAACAACTTCGAGAAATAATAACAAAGGGAAGCAATAGCAAAAAAATGATGCTTAAATAAATAAAAATGGCTATTTCCCTTAGTTTTATATCTTTACAAGGTTGACGCATCATTCTGAATTTAACCTTTTTTTTTTCACTGGCTTTTTGGAATGCTTTCTTTATTACCACAAACTTACCACATGCCTTTTGGCTTGTGGTACATATATGACATATGGGGTCGTCCATAAACTGAACGGAAAGGGTTCGGAATTTTGTTACGTATTGTGAGGACTGGGAGGGTAAGCTTCATCAAGTGTAAAGACACTCTCTTTCATTTTAACCAGTGACGTAAAAAAAAACCCTGAATTTTTAGCAATTATTTACGTTCTTAAAAAGGCTTTCTTTTTTAAATAATAAAAAAAAAATATTAGTATATTCAATGTGGTTTTAGAAGGAAATCAATGTTTTAAAATTATTGCCAGGGGCGGATTAAGGCTGAGCGGGGCCCCCGGCTGAAATTTTTTGGGGGCCCCATATATATATATATATATATATATATATATATATATATATATATATATATATATATATATATATATATATATATATATATATATATATATATATATATATATGGTTTTCCCAGAAAATGTTTGCATATAGCTCAAATAAGGAGAATTTTAGCCTTCGTCGAGGGCTTTGAGTCAAACCGGTAGTTTTCCCAAAAAGCTAAGCTATTTACAAAGGTGCATGCAAAAAAATAGCCAAAAGTACAAATTGTAAGCTCCCATAAATCACAAAGATTATTTAGGGAAATACGACTGGTCAATTTTGACTACTTTACGAAGTTTTCTCAGATATGCCGAGTTTTTATGACACTCTTAGGCGTTCTTCTACCACATCAAAAAATATCAAGGGGGGGACGGGGGGACATTCGGCAAAAAAATAAATATTCGTTATAGATCTCAAATAAGGAGAATTTCACTCGCGGTCATCTTTTAGCCCTCATTGAGGGCTTTGAGTCAAACCGACAGTTTTCACAAACGGCATAGCCATTTATAAAAGGGCATGCAAAAAATTAGCCAGATCTACAGACGGTAAGCGCCCGAATATCTTTGTTGAAATGACCCTCTGTTTTTTCCCATAAAATACAAAGATTATATAGGGAAATACGACTGGTCAGTTTTGACCACCTTACGAAGTTTTCGCAGATATGCCGAGTTTTTATGACACCCCTAGGCGTTCTTCTATATATAATAGATGCCTGGGTAGGAGGTGATGACGGGTGGTATTTATACGTAACTGTGTGCAAGTGTTTGAACTTTTGAAAAAAAAATTAAGCTTGTGATGCAAACATTAAAACTTTAGTTTTTATAGTGAAAACCAACAATGAGGTCGTAAATTTGGGGGCTCCTAAAAATCGGGGGCCCCTAGCTGCAACCCTTTCAGCACCCCCTTAATCCGCCACTGGGCAGAATCATCGGAAAGGCGTGTTGTCGTTTATGAGTGACCCCCATTCCACGTGACATCTGCCACAGGAAATGCCAACTGACTATTACTATCATTATAAAAACACATCGTTTCTCTATGTCACTTGGCAAGTGCCTGCCCTTTTTCTATGAGAGTACTCCTCCCATTATTAAACCAATAAGTCTTAACAAGTTATTGCCAGAGCAACATTTAGATGAAAATAGCCCAGAGGCGTAGCGACCTTCCCGGCGCCCGGGGACAAACGTTCGATTTGCACCCCCCCCCCCCCCCCCCCCACTCTCGAACTTTTGATTTGCATCACCCGCTCTCAAACTTTCAATTTGTTTTTCCAACCCATTTTGGCGCCCCCCCCCCCAAGGTCGGCGTCCGGGGACATATGTTCCCCTCGCCCCCCCCCCCCCCCCCTCTGAAATAGCTACGTAAAGGGAAGTATTCAATCTGTTCTTGATACGCTTTCATTTTGAAAAAATAAACAGTACGAATAGCTAATTAACATAATATGCTTATATCATTATTATATGTTAATCGTAAAAACAATTTTAATAATTCTATATAAATAAATGAAATCATTTGCCAAAGAATAGCCATTATTTGCGATTCTTTTAAAATGATTTTGTAAGTTAAAAGTTTTTCAATACTTGATGTAGTTATCTGAGAATAAAGTTGTAACTTAATTAATTATTTAAATGATTAAAGATAGATAATGTATTTGATAATTAAGTCGGACACTACCAAATGAATTATTATTACCTTTTTAAATGTTTAAAATAAATAAAAACATGTATTTAAAAAATGCTGTAGATATAGATGTTTGAAATGAAAGAATGTTTGATTTGATGTGTCTCATTGTAATCAATATAACTTTTCCGGTTGCTTAAAATTTGTGTCCTTTTAATTTTCTGTTATCCCAAATTTATTTCAGTTCTACTTAAAAGCCCAAACCCCCTCAGCCCACCTCGCCGATGGAAAAAAAATTCCTTGAATCATCATTTAATTACACATTTGTTAATTACACATTATTGTAAATCTGTATCAGTCCTCACAAGCCGATGATGAAAACTGTAATACTACAGCGAACATGCAAGGCAAACTGCCGCTGTTAATTACATGTCTGCGGCGAAAAAAAAAAGAAAAAAAAAGATCGGATGTGTAGTTTAATCCATCTCATGGGATCAAGACATACAAGCGATACCACTTTTAAATAACGTTGTAAACATGACAACAGCCTAATGCATTTGGCGTGCGACTGCGCATGACTGACTAAGAGAATGTTGGCATCCAATGCCATACACACTATTTTAAACAAAAATTATAGTTAAACTCCATGCTTTTTCATCCTCAAGCCTGCTTTGCTCTCTTTTAAAATTTTCTCTAAAAAAATTTTTTTTTCCTTTTTTACTTTCTCGTATATACGAAGTATATAGAGAAAGTCTTGTAATCGTGCAAAAAAAAAATCGAGATTTTTACAAAATCTCGACGTTTTACACCTCACTGATACGGAAAAACATAATTTTGCAATCTTGTTCGTATGTCTGTGTCCGTCTGTGTGTGTGTGTGTGTGTGTCTGTCTGTGTGTAAACACGATATCTTGAGTACCGTTACAGCTAGGTTGATGAAATTTCATATATAAGTATTTTATCAAAATCGTAAGTAAATGATCTAATTTTCTACCTTCTATCAAATTTTGAGTAATTTCCGTTGACCGGAAGTACTAATTTACGCTATTTCCTATTTCTCAAAAAAAAAAAAACGCTTGTAAATTTATAAAGTACTAATAATCTTTTTTTCTATGAGATTCTTTTCTATTTTTAAAAGTTTAAGTAATAAAAAATCATGTCTATATTCCAAGTTATATAAGAATATTCGAGAAAGTTTTGGGGAGATCACTACAGGTTTATTTCGAATCCGGTTTTTTTGTGTGAATGTTTCCAGTGTTCATTTTTATTTGTACTGTAAAACGGTATGGGGAACGGCTTCACATGTGTTTTTTAAATAAGGTACCCACATAATCTGTTGAACGTGTTCTGTAAAACGGGTACACATGTGGTATGAGGAACGGTTTCACATGCTCTGTCTGGATAGGGCACCCACACAATCTGTTGAACGTGTTCTGTAAAACGGGTTCCCGTATATTCTGTAAAACGGGAACCCATGTACTCTGTAGATCAAATTCTCAAAAGGCTGGAACCCATGTGTTTTATATAACGGAACAGGTTCACTTATATTCGGGTACCCATGTACTCAGTAAAACGGGTACCCCTGTACTCCGTAGAACAGTTACCCTTGTGTTCTGAAGAACGGAAACCCATATGATCCATATAACAGAAGAGGCTCAAGTATATTCGGGCACCCATGTACTTAGTATAACGGGTACCCTTGTACTCCAATGTAGAGTTACCCGTGTGTTCTGAAGAACGGGAACCCATGTTTTTTACTCACCAAATGCCTTTTATTTCACTCCGTTTAAAAACTTGAATATCTTGTTGCAAATCTGTGACACTTAGTATATGGGAAACAACCAGTAGTATATTTGCGTAACAGTTATTTCCCTTAGATGCAGTTATAAATAGTTATTTTGACTTGCTATTTTATTTTTAACATCGAAAATGGGCACAGGTTTTATCTGGAGAGTTGGTTGATTTGGTAGAGCGGATTTATGGAAAGAATAATATAATATGGAAGGAGTAGGAATTTATTTTCATAAACAGCAGCATTACATTGAACTATTAAGATTTGTATAAGGAGAGAAAATTATAATGTGTAGCGTCATTTTAAAATGGATCTTGTGAGTATTTTTTTTTACATAAATTGACATGAAATTTATGTTTGTTGAATATCTCCCTCCCTGCATTCACCCCCCCCCCCCCCTCATCACTATTACCCTTAAATATATCTGTTTCATATTCTCCTTACAACATAATGTTCACACAACTCTAACGATATGTACATATAAGTTTATTTATCTAACATGTTATTAAGTATATAACAACCATATTTTTAAAGCGACAAGTATTTAAAAACAAAAAAAACAACAAAACAAAAATCGCAGCAACATTTGATCCGTGTAAACTAAAACAGATTGTTAGTGTGTTAGTTTTATCAGGTTTAGTTCTAATTGAGTCACAGGCACCCAGAGAAATTCTTCAGTAAACAATGATCAGCATATACATTAAATTAATAACCAGTTCAATGATACAATTGTTTTTTACATATGTGAGGTTGATTTACATTTGAATAATGACAGGTCATGCATACGTGTTGCAGATGTGTTTTTATTTTTTAAATATAAGTATTTACATTCACGATCTGAATTTGTTAGTGTATAATTAGCGGCACAATTCAAATCACGTTGTTATATTCTGCGAATAAATAAACCGCAGTAGAAATGTTAGCGATACATTTTAAAGCGCGTTACAATAGCGTCTCGCCGTTGTTGCCGTTCTTAACACTATGGTTGTTGCCGTTGGTACACGTCCAGTTTCTAGAGAGTTCTGTGGCTCTGACGCTAGTCCTTAGACTGGTGTAGTTGGTAGGCAAGCTTAAGGCCAACTTGCTGAAAGGTTTGATGAAAAGTTTCTTCAGCTCCTGACGGAACATCTTCCCCGTGATGACGTAGATGAAGAAGTTAAACGCGTAGTGGGTGATACCGTACTCTTTCAGGATGCTCAGGGTCAACAGGTACGTGAAATGTATCTTCACCGCACGGGGTTCGCTTTTTTCGAAATCGCTGGGGTTGATGTAAAACTCCAAGTTCAAAGCGTAGACGACTGTAACGGGAAGCGTGGTGATGATGTGGTAAAACGACACAGCCAGCAGCATTAAGGTTGTCGCGGCAGTCCGCTGAGGAGAGCCTTGAGTGGACTGCTCCGTTTGGGACAGTCTTCGGAGTTCACGGATGACAAAGATGTTTAAGACTAACACAGCAATCGGCACAATAAAAAATGCCAGCACTTCGACGCACAGATTGTAAATATTATAAATGGAGCTGGCATTCCCTTCCTGTACATGTTCTCTGAGATTGCAATCATACTCGATTGTGCCGCTTACGTTTTTAGTGTCCAACGTATAGAAGTACCCATGGGGGGCGGCAAGACACAACATGGCGAAAGTAAGGCACGCGATAACGATTTTGGCTCTTTTAATGGTGCAGTACTTTTCTCGTTTGAACGGGTGGCATATTGAGATGTACCTCTCCGTTGTGAAACCCAGAACGAAGAACAAGGATATGTACTGCGGGGCTAAGCTAATGATGGGGTAGAACTCACAGACGAATGGGTGGTTCAGCACTTTTTCCTCCCAGGTCGTATGTATCTCAAAGATTATGTGCAGGATAAGAAAAATCAGATCATTCAGGGCCAAGGCCGCTAAGTAGTAACCGGAAGAGTTTCTCATTCTCCTTTGCATCCAGACGATGAAAGAGAGGATGTTGCCCATCAGACCGACGACGACGATGATGGGTGTGACGTACTTGTCGATGGCTAAGGCGGCTGGGTATTCGTATTTCAGGTACCATAATGCGTCATAGGTACTACCGTTGGTGGCGTTAGAGGCTTCGGTCGTGTTCAACTCCATCCTCGTCTCCTGGAAACAAATAGAAAACAGGAGTAATTAGTTCAAGTAATACAGTAATTATGTATAGCAAAAGCTGGTCTAACACACACACACACAAACACACACACACACACACATATATATATATATATATATATATATATATATATATATATATATATATATATATATATATATATATATATATATATATATATATATATATATATATATACCTATTATACATACAGCAAATATATATACATACATATATGTATATATATATTATATATATAAATATATATATATATATATATATATATATATATATATATATATATATATATATATATATATATATATATATATATATATATATATATATATATATATTGGCGAAGTGAGTAGAACACTACTAAGCTTACTAGATATCATTCATGTTAACCAGATCGCAAGCAAACGCATTAGACATCAATGATTTCACACAATAAAACAATTAAGTTCACTCAATCTGTTTATATTAGCCTAGTAATTCAGTGAGTAGTAAAAAAAGAATATATGTGGCCCTGCTTGTCTAATCATCCGAACTTGGACAAACAAAAATAAGATGAAACATATAGTTTTTAATGGAAAGATTCCTTTAAATCAGTAATTCTTTTTGCTAACTTAAATAACAACCAAACTTGATCTAAATGTTGATCTGTAATCAAAATCTACTTTTGTCTTGTTTTTTTCTTTTCTATGTCTTCAACGAAGTTTTATTATTAAAGTATCAACATGACGAAAACCGAATCACCAATAACAACTAAAAAAAAACTTGACTTTGATATCTAGTTGTTTTGAAGGCATTAGTAACGTACTTTTCACTAAGTTTTTTAATAAAAGAAACCTTGAATCACCGTCGGTGTTTTGGCTACGATAAATAAAAAAATCTGGACAATTTTTTTAAATGACGTCACAGCACTGAGAATTACATCACAGACATGAATGGGGGTGGTGGGTAGGGAGTGGACAGAGCCGGAAATTGCCGGAAGAGGAATATAGTGCAGATGGGAACACTTAGACCGTGGGATATGTTTTTGTCGCCAGGGTGGTTTAATGGTCACGTGTTTCTACACGGCTAATTGCCAGCTATTTCATACGGCTAATTACCGGCTACTTTACAAGGCCTATTGCCGGTTAATTTACAGGGTAATTATCGGCTATTTTATACGGCTAATAGCCGGCTACTTTACAAGGCTTATTGTCGGTTAATTTACACGGTAATTACCGGCTATTTTCTACGGCTAATTGCTAGCTACTTTACACGACCTATTGCCGGTTAATTTACACGGTATCCGGCTGTTTCATACGGATAATTACCAGCTATTTTATACAACAAATACCGGCTGCTTAAAACGGCTAACTACCTGCTACCCTTTACATCGCTATTTTCCGGTACTTTATACGACTAATTGCTGTCTAATTTAACTGTTAATTACCTGGTACTTAAAATGGCTCATTTACTGCAGATTTCGCCTCTAATTATCGATTACTTTGTACGGCTAATAGCCGGTTATTTTGAATGATAATTTCCAGATAATGTTATCAAAGCCCAAAAGCCGACAACGTCCAATCTTTTTTAACAACCAGACCACATTCGTTAAGTCTCTAGCCTATTCTTTTTAATTAAAAAAAATCCAGTTTTTTCTCTTAAAATGAACGATTTTAAAAGTTTGAAATAAAAAAAAAAAATTGCGCGTGTTGAAAAAAATCTTTTGTTTTGATTAGACTCGATGTTGATTGATTATAATTCATATTTTTTTGGTATAAATAAAGTGCTTTCTGAATTGAAAATTCTGAAGTGCGTTATTAAAATGTGTTAAAATGTACTAATAATTTATTAATACGTGCCTTCCCGAGCTAGTGTTTAAGACTTTTTCTCCCGTGGGGAGGGTACTTGAAAGAGATGCCTGAAAAAAACTCTGGTTGCCTCCACACGTACAATCAGGTTAAGGCAGTTTGTTCCAGGTTTTGGTAGGAGAGATGATTGGTTCTTGTGATAATAACAAATCAGTTCCTAAAAATGTTGCAAATGTCTTTAGGAATCCTTCTCAAGAGTACATTCCCGTCTTAAGGGTTAAAACACAGATGTTAAACACACCTCAAACACTTTTAACAAAACACTGACACATCCCCACATTTGTAACAAAACATAGATATATCCCCACACTTGTAACAAAACATAGACACATCCCCACTTTTATAACAAAACATAGACACATCCCCACATTTGTAACAAAACATTGACACATCCCCAAACTTGTAAAAAAACATTGACACATACCCCACATTTGTAACAAAACATAGACACTCCCCACATTTGTAACAAAGCATTGACATACCCCCACATTTGTAAAAAAAAACATAGATACACCCCCACACTTGTAACAAAACATAGCCACATCCCCAACACTTGTAACAAAACATAGCCACATCCCCAACACTTGTAACGAAACATAGCCACATCCCCAACACTTGAAACAAAACATATACACATGCCCACACTTGTAACAAAACATTGACACATGCCCACATTTGTAACAAAACATTGACACACCCCCATATTTGTAACAAAACATAGACACATCCCCACATTTGTAACAAAACATAGACACATCCCCACATTTGTAACAAAACATAGACACATCCCCCACATTTGTAACAAAACAAAGACACATCCCCACATTTGTAACAAAACAAAGACACATCCCCACATTTGTAACAAAACATAAAGACATCCCCACATTTGTAACAAAACATAGACACATCCCCACATTTGTAACAAAACATAAAGACATCCCCACATTTGTAACAAAACATAGACACACCCCCACATTTGTAACAAAACATAGACGACTTCAAACACCTCGCCCCACCCCCTCCCCCCCCCCCCCCCCCCACACACACAACACTTGCAGCCAAACCTAACAACATTTTTAAAACAAACAGGAATTACACAAGACACAACGTACATTCTCTGGGTACGTTTCTCAGCCCAAATCTCTTAAGATAAGTCTCTGAAGTTAGTCCCCCCTCGACAGGGACCATTCCTCACGGTCACACACACAATCACATCTTCACAAATATGTGGTAGAAGTTATAACAAACAACAACTCAGACATTTTTAAAACCAGGTTAAAGGTCAAACATTTAGGGGTGTAGAGCAGGTTGACCTTCAACTTGGTAAGGTCAATAGGTAGACCAGTGTCTAGGTGATGACATGTCATTATTTAACATAGACAGGAGGAGATCGGGTTTGGTCAGAGTTAAAGTTAAACACTAAACACACAAGTTATGGTCCTTTGCAGATACTTTTTCAGAGATGCCAGTGCAGGGCCTGGCAGGGGCGGCTAGTATATATATATATATATATATATATATATATATATATATATATATATATATATATATATATATATAACTTTGTTTGTCTTGATATTATACGCGGTTTCTTAAAACCTTATACTAAACATATTACAGACTACATAACCATACACATAGTACTTACACAACCTATACTGAACAAACCCCAACCCCACAAGTCTACCCCCCACCCCACCCCAATAAACCCATTCTGTACCTGTAGCTATAAATCGCTACTTACCTGCTAATTGCATAGATCTACAAAGATCAGACATTTTGTTTTGATCTGATAAGTGGAACCACTTGGACTAAGTCAGGCCATTTATCAACCGTCCTATCAAAGGTACGCTACCAAAAGCTGGAAATTAATGGTGTCTAGTGGGGTGGGGGTGGAGGGGATCAAGGATCATCTACGTCATCACAGGAGGTAAGGAGTTAGGTAACAGGCTATAGACTATATTCGGTTCACTGAACTACCCACACGGGTATTAAACGCCCTTGCTAATTAATTAACTAAACCCTGTCCAACGCGATTTTAAAACCATTGCTATTAATGTAACTGACTTCATTCTTTGTTATTGTAGGTCCCATCTGATTAATTAACTGTTCTTTAACTTGTGTTAATTTATGTCGATTCTTAAAAAAAATAAGAGGACTTCATCTTTTGTTATTATAAGCTAATTTTGATCAATCAGTAGTACGTTGTCCTTTATTGTTGTATGTTTGTTCAAGTCATTGTAGTGGGGCATACTTTATTATAGAAATGTGTTCTAGGTGTATAGAAATTTAAAGTTGTTAAAGACGAATTTTTTTCTGTGAATTATTTACGGCTGCCTATGCGTGGTAGTTTAGTGTGTGAACTATTTATAGTTATTGAGTTGACATCAACTTATCGTGTCATCTATTACAGCTAATGTTATATTGATGTTATATGATACAGGTTATGTTGTATTAATGTCATGTCACGCGGGTAATGATGTAGTGATGTCATCTTATACAGCTAATGTTGTATTAATGTTATATGATACATGTAGTGTTGTATTGGGGTGCCGTTTTATTGATGTCAAAAGCAAAAGCCTGTTAAATCCAACTTTATATGATAACCTTTCTAATAAAAAAAAAGTATCTAAAATATAAAAATATGTCAATACGAAACTAAAAATACCAATTATTTCACGATCTATAAACTGAATCATCGCAAAGTTTCTCATTCATCTAACTCTAGTTCGCGATATATCCAAACATTGTAAACATAAATATCTTACTTTGCGATAAATTTTAAATGTTGTTGTATTTATATTTCACATATTATGTATTTATTACCAAAGGCCAAAGTGAATAAAAAACCAATGTGTCTACATCTGTCACAGAAAAAAAAAATTATTAGCTGTCCTCAAGCAAAGCTCAGATTGTCATGTGCGAGAGAAAGCTAATCTGACCTTAGTACACATTTTGGGGCCTTGTGATCAACACACGAAGAGGGAGTGTTTTGGGGGAGGGGAGTACGATTTCAGGTAACAATTGGGGCTGTTTAAGATTGAGGATATAAGATCTCTCGTGTTTTTATGTAAATGATATATTTTGGTAGAGAGCGAAAGTAGGTTGGTCTAGACTTGAAGTAAACA